GGAACCCTCTGGTAAAAAGAAACTTAAGACTGTGATCCAGCTGCAGCATTCATGTCTTTCCATTCCTGACCTCTCCTCAGTAATACAGGTTCTCTGGTAATGAATAAAGATTGAGCCTTTCTCTTGGTAGAAGCACTTACAGAATCTTCTTCCTACACAGATATCTTTTCATTATATGCATAGGATCTTTATGTCAGTAGGAACCCTACTTCTCCATCAAACTTGGTTGAAATTGGCTAAGAGGTTCAAAAGTTATTGGGCAAGTACAGACAGTGTCATTAGCCCTCTTCCCTTTGGAAGCAGACTTAAATGATGTGGTCTTAGCTGAGGTTGTCTGACCTCAGTTAGATAATTCATGTTAAAAGAGTAGTGCAGACACACCTGTTTTAATAAGAAGTAACAGCTTGTGTTAAACCCAGACTGAAGTTTTGTTTTCACTGCTGTTTCAGCCCAAATGCCATTGTATTTTTGGCAGTTTAGATGGATCCCTAGTCATGTTCCTTAACAAAATGATTTATCTACTCTTTGATCTTCAGTTTCAATGAGCTGAACTTCAGTGATTCAGCAGGACCCACAATCTGAAACATCTCCTTTTCTACAGCCACCTAATTTTTAAAACCTAGTTATTAATTATGACACCTTGTAGATCAGAATGGTTTCAAATCCACACAATATTCTGACAACTGAGTTTGTACAATTAATGATTTTAATACAAAGGTTCTTACCTTTCAGAATCAAATGTAAGGTTATTGTAACAAGTAAGCATATAGGCATCTAGATGTCCTTGCTCAGTCAAAACTCTTATTGATTGTTCTGACTTTGCAAAACAATGTCGTTGTTCAGTCCCAGATTGTGGGTTTTTTTCTCCTTGTTGTTAGCTAGATAAATAAATGTGCTAGCAGGCCAAAGATGGGCATCCGTCCTTGTTGAAGAATATTAGCCAAATCAATTTTTTCACAGAAAGAAAATCAATTGATGCATTAGCAAGAAAGAAAATAAAGCATTATGCTGTTTTAGCTCCCAGGAGCCTGAATAGTTGACTCTAACTTTCAGAAATAGAGGGATAAAAAAGATCTAAAGTTCAGATCTAAATCCGGATCAGAACTTCTGCAGGGCTTATGGGGACTCTGACTCATTTCTAAACTGGATGTGCATTTAAAGGGCAGTCATATAAAAATTGACCCTCCCGCCAGAGCTTCAGTGAATATGGACACATCTATCTGACTCTGTGTCCCAGTTTGTCCTCCAAAACCAGTAAGGTGGGGTGATGACAGAGGAGGTTACATTTCTGAATTCATCACTTGATGAATGTTCAGCCGTTGCTGAAAATAGGTTGTTGTTGTAAACATAGGAAAAGCAGTCTGTTTTCTTCTACAAGGCCTAACACAAAAATCTTCTATAGGCTTTCGGTGGTGAAATGGGAGTCAGTTTTTATATGATATATTATAGAATCATAGAATGGTTTGGGACCTTAAAGATTGTCTAGTTCCAACCCCCCTGCCATGGGCAGTGACACCTCCCGCTAGACCAGGTTGCTCAAAGCCCCATCCAACCCAGCCTTGAACACTGCCAGGGATGGGGCAGCCACAGCCTCTCTGGGCAACCTGTTCCAGTGCCTCACCACCCTCACAGTGAAGAACTTCTTCCTTACGTCTAATCTAAATCTACCCTCTTTCAGTTTAAAGCCATTCCCCCTTGTCCTATCACTACATGCCTTTGTATAAAGTCCCTCTGCAGCTTTCTTGTAGGCCTCCTTTAGGTACTGGAAGGCTGCTGTAAGGTGTCCCCAGAGCCTTCTCTTCTCCAAGCTGAACAACACCAAGTCTCTCAGCCTGTCTTCATAGGAGAGGTGTTCCAGCCCTCTGATCATCTTCATGGCCCTCTTCTGGACTCATTCCAACAGGTCCATGTCATTCTCATGTTGGGGGCCCCAGAGCTGAACGCAGGACTCCAGGTGGGGTCTCACGAGAGTGGAGTAGAGGGGGAGAATCACCTCCCTTGATCTGCTGGTCACCCTTCCTTTGATGCAGCCCAGGATACGGTTGGCTTTCTGGGCTGCAAGCACACATTGCTGGGCCATGTTGAGCATATATTAAACTAGCAAGCTCATGGGCAGGTAAAAACATTATTTTAAATGGGAAACATTGTCCGGTAGCTGTTGTCAGGATCTCTGAAGAGTTAATTCTGGTTCTGCTGCCAGTTAGATGTGTGGTATTTAGTAAACCATCAGACCTTTTAGCTAAGTGTTTTAATAGGATTTAGTTACAAAATGAAGTGAAAGTATACTAAAGTGTTGTGGAACTTTGCATCTGAATCAGAACTTCCAGACAGGCTGTTTTATAATAAATATCTTCTACCTCCTTGGGCTGCTGTGAAGAATAATTAATGTTTGCATACTGCTTTGAGCATGCAGACTGTAATGACAGTACTAAGTTTTAATATTAAAACTATTAAATATTGGGATTCTGCAATAGTCTCCTTCCACTTCACAGAATCATAAGGTTTTATGATGTGTTTAAAAATAAAATTGCTGTGAGGAAGGACTGCCATTTAAATTTAAGATCAAATACTTCAAAAAGGATTATATGATACGCCTAAGAGTTCCCCCCCGAGCTGCTTCTCTCTGCCTGCCCTCCTCCATATGCAGGCTGGTTTTCTACATTACAAATGAACCCATGTTTGTCTGTAACTAGAAAGCTTTGTGCAGGCAGCTGGTGCGACTTCCCAGCCTGCGTGGAGGGGGTTTAGGGATATCACTGAGCCGATATATTGCATAATATGTGTATGTACTTGCATCGGAGCATACATAAAATACTTCACTATTATACTGTGAAAAACTTAAGGAATATGACAAGTACTAATGGTGAAGGTTATGAAACATACCTTATGGGCAGGTTATTCCATAATTTTCCTCCTAAGGCCTTACACGCACACACATACGTGCATGTCTCTGAAGTACCAACTTTGACAAATGTTGGACTTGGTCAACAGCTGATTTGCCTTAATATGTCATTTGGTTTTAATATTGATGTAAAATATCTAGACACAGAACCCCACTGGAACAGTCAAATACTGTGTACTCATTACTGCAAGTCCAGAATGCTATCACCACTGATATAACTACTAATGAATTTGGAGACATCTATGTCTGAGCTAGTTGTTTGGACTTTCCTTATATTCATTGCAAAGAAATAGGCACTGCTAGGATGCAATTCATTATGTCCTAATGGAGATCCCTAGATTTGGTTAGATGAATTGCTCCCTGAAAGTGCATTTTTCTCTGACTTGATTATAGAGGGAAGCAGAGTAATTAGCTCAAAAGTAGCTGACTACATCTTAAGAAGCATAAAGGTTGGTAAGACGAATCCTATCCTTTTAGTCTTTGTTTTTCATTTTCGCACATGTCTTTATATTTACCTTTGATTCATAACACAGACTTTTTAAGCAAGCAAAATATGCCTTTTGTTGTTGTTTGGACAATAACTGGTGGTTGTCACTGAAAAATAAAACTTGTGCATCAAGCCGGTCTATTAGTACAACTGCTTTAATGAAAAGAAACTAGCAATACTCTATTTTTCAAGTTGGATCATAAAGGCAGTATTTCTCAGCAGTTTCTGTCAAAGCAGTGCTTGATAATGTTGTTTTCAACCAGAAACTTTCTCAGATATTTGCTTATTAATAAACTTTTCTTTGTACAGCACCTTGCACAGGAGAATCATGGTATATGCCCAGAAAACTGTCACTACAGCATTACAAAGAAAGGATTTATTATCAGCCCAACCTTGCAATATCCAGAGTATAGCATTTTGAAAGAGCAATTACCAGGTACTTTTAAGTTGAAAGCTACCATAATTATCCACTGATTGAAAAGAGAACGACAATACCTAATCATGTAGCACTCTGTTACGGTTTATCCATTTGCTATAGAATCTGGGTATGTGTTCATAATATATAGGTTGAAACAGTGTTGTGCCCATCAAAAGGAATGAGTAAGGTGTTCCTGTGACTGTCTCTTGTGGCTCAATGAAAATATAAAGAATGAGGGTAGTAGAGTATTCATATAAATGTCCTTGCTATTTTCATATTTTTGAATGCAGGAGGAGACACATGCAGCTGTAATATTGTGTAGAAGTTTCACATGCACATGCATGGTGTGGAATGGCCACGTTTGTGTAATGCATGTTATTCTAGTACTCCTGAGTAAATCAGGTAGGGAAGGTAAACAGTCCAAGGTACCAAATATTCCTTCTAGGTATTCTGGTATAAATTTGCAGGAACAAGTCAAAGGAGCTGCTCTGTACTTGCAGATGTTCAACTGGCAGCAAATTTGGCTCAAGAATTCCCAGAACTGAGTCTACATCCCTACCCTTTGAAGTGGGTGGAAAGCTCCTGTTGACTGTGGTGATCTTTGGGCCACACATAGGAACAGCCCCCTGTTACATATTTGTCAAGGACTATTTCCTTTAGTTCGTTACGCTGTTAAAAAAATACCTTAAAATAAATTGTAAGTATTTAACGAGAAGTAAACCTAGTCAAATTTGTCTTAAATTTGGTTTCTTTGTCTGTAGACTTGTTTTAGGGAGCTTTTTTGTGTTCAGGAGCAGGCCTGAATCAGGTACCTGCATTGGGATTCTCTCTTCTGCTGCTTCCCACTTCTTCCTTGCCTGCTTTTTATCTACTTAGCTGGGAAGCTCCACTGTGCAAGCAACAGCTCTGCTGTATGTCTGTGCAATGTTTGGTATGATATGACTTATAACCTATTGCATTAAGAATAATAAGAATAATATATTTCCATTTTAGAGCCTAAAGAAGGCAAAGGTAACAATATGGTACCACTGCGTTTGACTCCCCTGCCTTATCTGTTTTGGATGAGGCTTCAAAGTGAAAATGGAAATGAGCAGCTGATGTGACCAAGACATTAATTTTTCACTCCTTCCCTCTACCCCAGCACTTAAATTTAGATGTAGCTCAGATTGAAACTTTGTGTCTTGTTTTGGCAGGAATGCTACAGAATGGAAAGAAGTTTGATTCCTCCAGAGACAGAAACAAGCCTTTCAGGTTCAAGATTGGCAGACAAGAAGTCATTAAAGGATTTGAAGAAGGTGTTACACAGGTACAAAGAAATTATTCTGGCTGAACTTCAAGCCAGCTGAAGGGTGTGTGAGCACAGCAATATCTGGTGCAATGGTGACAAGACCAAGTGGAAATCACAGTGTAGGATACAGAGTGTTTTTCTAAAAGCATGGTTCATTTGAGCACAGTATTTCCTGTAGTTCTCCTCCGTCCATCCAGGGATATCCCCTACTCAGGTGGTGTTCCACATGGTATGTGTTTGGGAGGGGAGAGGTGACGTCCCCTCCCCAGGTGCTAGTGTGCCACATAAGCCCGTCCCTTTCCCATGGGCAGCTCCACAAATAGGCAACAGTGGCCTCTAAAATGTTCCAGATGGCAGCGTTTTATGGAGTGGCCTCTTTTCAGCTACTCCATAAAAGTCCAAGCTGCTGGTTTTGATGACATCCATGACCGAGCTGCAGATTTTGACCCTTACTGAATAAGGTACCAAACTGCACTGTTAAATTTTTATGACTCCAGGCTCCCGGCTACAAAACTTAACATTCACTGACCAACTCTACGTTGAGAAAAAGGAAACTGCCTTCCATTAATTACAGTTTGAGTGCCAACACAGTAAAACCCTAGAAGAGCCACACAATGCAATTCATTGCCAACTCTTGCTTTTTGTCTGCAGTGCTGTGAGGGCCCACTAAGTGAGGAGTGCGATCAGGCTGCTCAAGTGCAAGAGTGAATGAGATCAGGGTGCATATTCCTTGTGACTCCCCGTTTCGGGCTCCTAGAGCTCAGTGTAGGAGGAAACTGCTCGAATATTATTATAGGGACAACTTCTTATGCTTAAATAGAGAAAAGGGAAGAATGCAAAATGAGAAACAATCCACTGAGGAATGATGCAACCATGCTTTTCCAGAGAGGGAGGGAGGGAAGAGAAAATGGTTTCCAGCCCTATGGAGAAAGCAACTGCAAGCATTCCCTTCTCTCCAGCCAGAGAAGTAGAAGTCCATCTGAGGAATCCTAGACTCTCTGCAAAATACCCACTTTCCTCTCAAGGATTTGAGCTGGACTCTTTATTATTTGCTTTGCAATAAGGCCTAAGAGGAGCTCAGGACCCCAGTGTGCTGTAGAAACCAGAAGCCAGTGCAGATGAAGCAGTGGCAACAAGCGCTGAGTGAATCAGTTTATTCCTTCCTTGACCGCGCTTGCTCCCTGACTCCTGTCCCTTAATTAATAAGTGGCCAAAAGCCATTCCAGTAATCAGTGTGGCAACACGCTGCCCTCCTGCTCCTCCTAGTGGATCGCTGTCTGAACTCGAGCTTGTGCCTGTCTCCTTCCACCCCAGGATTTTGAGGGGTTTGGCGAGTGTGATTTACACAAGGCACTTGGAAAAAGGCAGTTCACTGTGTCTAGCATGTAGATTTTTTCAAACCTTGGTTTAAGGACTGTCAGATGTCAGCAGCATCTGCATTTCTCTGCTCAACTTCTGACAATTCAAGGTTGCCCCATGCCTAAAACCCGTGCGTGACTTACTAGCTGTCTGGCTTGCAGGGACTCATCAGAGTAGCAGCCAGCCTGCCCCACGCAAATCCCTGCAGGGACTGGGGAGCTCATCTGCTCTTATGGCCTCAGCCCCATGGTATGAATACTCCCAGAATGTGGAAAAGTTCATGTGCACATTTTTCTTCTACCTAAAGTGATCAAAGCTCTAGCTTTGGCATATTTTATAGAACCTGAAAAAAATTTAACAGGAGATACCATGTAATCTGTAGTGCAGTGATGTGCCCGATCTTGGGAGAGAGGTCTGAGTTAAAATCACTGCTTTAAATCAGGGATTGTTTCCTGGCCAGTGAATATTCAATCACCAGTGCATGGTGCTCCACCCCAAAATACTCTGTTGGAAGAGCAGGGATTTGAATCTTGATAACCCAAATCTCAGTGAGCACTCTTACCTCCAGAGCTAGTGTGGAGTGAGAGAAATCAGCATTTCTGTCCATCCCAGGGGCAAGGGTTCTGCCAGAATAAGCAGCACCTGAGGTGAGATGTCTGCCCTCTGGCTTGGGCTGAGTTTAAGGAAGTAAGTACCTCTTTTAAGTAGGATTGCATTAGTGTTTGCTTTGCACCTGCAAAAAGTTGGGTGCCTACAGCATTAGCTTTTGAGCAATGGTTTTGAAGTTGTCCCTGGGGGTGGCTGAAGAAGGAAAAATGTTGCTGAATGCGTTTCAGAAGCCGAACCTAACTGCATTTCAGCACTCATCTCTCATGAATACAAAGCTCTGGTCCTATCTGTTACTGAGAGCCTTTTCCTAACGCCCACTGATGGTGCTACATGTACCCTGCGCGCCACAGAAGGAACTCACACCTCCTACAGCTGGCTCCTGTGTAGGCAGGATGGACCAAACTGTGTTAAAAAGCCTTTGTGTGACTCCCAGACTGGTTCTGGCAATTTAAATAACTACTGTGAGAAGTCAGAGGAGTTAGGAGACCTATGTCTGAGCTGTTTGTGGCAGCTTCAGCTTGAAGCTGAAAGATGAATCCAATGGTCCCAACTCTCCTCAGTTCTGTAAATCTGCCACACGGTGATTTGTTCTTTGTTTTCCTCCTAATGCTGTTTTTTTTGTCTTCTCTTTTCCTTTCTCCAACATCCAAAACCCAGATGAGCTTAGGACAAAGAGCAAAGTTGACCTGCACACCTGAGATGGCCTATGGAGCCACAGGCCACCCTGGGGTCATCCCTCCCAATGCTACTCTCCTCTTTGATGTGGAGCTTCTCAGGTTAGAGTGAATCTTCTCGAGGGAGTTGGCTGGAGACATCTGTTAATAACCATCCATTCTTTCTTGCCTTGCCGGCAGCAGGAGAAATCTTCACTGGAATCCCCACCTTCCCTGCTCAAGCTGTCCTGTCAATAGCGCCTGCCGTTCGGTTTCTTATGCCTTCCTTCTCTTTTTTAACTTTGTGGTGTCCGTATTTGCCTTTTATTAGAAGCTTTGCTTTGGGAAAAATGTCTACCATTGTAACATTTTCAAGTTGTACATTTTATTTAACTTGCATGTGAGAAGAATTCACAGTGATGATTGAAAATATATATAAATATATATATATATTCCTTATTGAAAAACCACTGCCTTACTGTACACTTAAACCAAGAAAAGAAAAATACAAAAGGTGCTCAAAAAAAAAAAAATCCAATGTACGCCTTGTACATGAACGGGCATTAGCCAAACAGAGTTACCTGCGCTGCCACTTTTCTCAACTTGTACGTTCTGCTTGCTGCTGTTTTAAAAAATACTGTCTCATTTAAGAATTAAAAGTATATATATAAAACAATAAAATCTTGATACTTTACAGTTTCTATTTCCTGGTTTTTTCCTCTGGCCACTGGAATTCTTTTTCGTGTCTAAGAAGTTCTTCAAACAATCATCAACCCATTTTTTGTTAATTATTTCCCTTCTTATATGAAATACACGTAATTCCACACACTGCTTCTGTTACAGATGGCACAGTGGAAGATCTCTGCGGGACCAGAGGTACCAGGAACGCGTGAGTAAGGGCTGCCGGGACAGAGAGGTTTCCTGACTCTCCATCTCCCCTGCCCTGCTGGTGGCCTTTCAACTCTGGCCAAAATTTAGCAGCTGAAGAGATGGGAAGTGATGCTTCTCAAAGACATGCAGTGCTGGTCCAGTTCTGTGCCTTTACAACAGTAAAACTAGTGTAAAATTTTCTACTGGAGCTGAGAAAGGCTAGAGAAGAGCAGAATTATGTGCATCCACCTTACAAAACAAATCTGAATCGTGGGATGATGTGGGCACTGAACACACCGGGTTTTTTTAGGCTGCATCTTCTGATGCTGTTCACGTAGCCTGCAAACTTACTTTGTGTGCTGGGCTCCTGGCTCTCGAGGCTGACCAATATTTATTTCATTTGATGGTTATATGAATTCACAGAATGCTGGTTCCTCCTCTGGAGACAGGAAGATGCATAGACTGTCATTTACCTGGTTTTAGGAGCAGGACCTGATCAGCAAAGCTGCCTCTTTGCTGTTATTCTGCTTTGCCTAAAGTTGATTTCTCCCCTCTGCTCTAGAAAAAAAGAGCATCGTTGGGTCACAGTGTTATTATTTATTTAACTTGACTATAAACTATTTGCATAGTTTGCACTAATGGATTTTTTGATGGAAGGATTTTGAGCAGGTGGTAAGCTATTTCCTTGTGTGAGTCTGTGCAAGGAGAACACAGCTACCACGAGCAGACAGACTGCAAAGCTACATAGGCACCTCCAGGTGCTACCTCCTGGAGATGAGAGAGAAAAGGAGCACAGAGAAGCAAGACTGGCAATCTATCTGGCCGGTGAGTACAGCTCACAGTCTTCTTTCTCTAGATGTTCATTTTACCCACAAAGCTGCATTTAAGTTTGTTAGTTAATAAGCCCATAAAACCCATCTCTTACAGACTGTTATTCACTGAGGGTTGGTGGAGTAAAATTTTTTCTTGCTCCCCTCTTTGTAAAGAAACAAAAGGCCTTCCAGGATCCCTTTTTTTGGTGGAAATCTAGGATCACTGCAGCAGTGAGGTTACACATCCACATTTCACTAATAGTTCTTTTATTTAGGACAGGCTAATTTCCTGTTAATAAGTAGAGAATTAGACCTGCCAGCGTGATGCCCACTAGCTCTCCCAAGTTCTTTATAAAGGTCCCAGCCTCCTTTGCCACTGCCCCGGCCTCTGTCACTGGTCTTGATTTCAGCACTGGGTTATAGATTGCAGGTTGTGTTGCAGCAGTTGCAGATGTGAGCTCCTGTCAATGTCTTCGTTAAATGCAACGTAGCCCTGTCGTGCCTGTCAAACACAGGTCGATTCAGCACACTGGTCTAAAGCTGCTCCTACCGATGCCCCGTTTAAGTTAGTTGCTCGTTAAAAAAAAAAAAAAAGAGAAAAACATGAATGTATCTGGTTTGGGACCTTTCCTGAATGCCTCGGAAGTGAAGGATCAGCTCGGCGTACCTAGAATGGTCGCGTGTTCCCTCCATCGTCTCTTGGTCCTGCTGTGGGCAAGCTTCTGCTGCGTCTAAAGCACTAGGCAGGGCATTGCTCTGCCCTCCCCCTTCTGCTAGGTTTCTTACCAGTGACAAACGTGTTCCTGCTGGGCTTTAAGAGCTGATCATACTCAGTCTTATCGTCTCTATCTGCAGAGCTGCTGTGCACTTTCCTTTTGCCCTCAGCAGTACAACCCGGCCATTACCAAGTCTGTAAAATCCTTATTACAGCTGGTTGATGAAGCTCGCTCTTCATCACCCTTTCTCTGCAGAGACCTTTGTTGGAAGCAGAGATTATTACATTTTTCATGCCAATTTCATTAAAAAAAAATCTGAAAGGAAAACTAATTGTGCTTTGTGATACTTAGGGAAATTAAGTCTTCAAGGAAATGTAATCTTCAGCTCTTTATTTGACTGCAAATGCGTTAATTTATTTAATTGTATCATCGATCAACACAGTACATATAATTATTACCACTATATAATGGATTGGAAAAAATTTACTGTCATTGCCTGTGTAATCAGATATGCTCTTGTTACTAATTTCTAAACAGCATCAATGGAAAAAAATGACCTTCCAGGCTTAATTTCATGCCCTACTTCCTGAAAAATTAAATGGGAAGTGAGCATACACAAAAACCAGTGCAGATGCAGAATACGAGGCTGGTAACATCTGCCTTATTTGCTGCCCCCTCTGCCATTCATATAACTGAACTCATTTCCCTGTCCTTTGATATTACATTTCAAACAAAATCTTGAGCAGACCTCATCAAAACAGTCCTCCGGGCATTCGATTTCCATTCCCCCTGTCTTGCAGGTACAAATTATTATTTCATTTTACATGTGCAGGGACATTGAAAGCCCTGAACAGACACTAGAAGAAAAAGTATGAAATGGAATATTTAATGAAAGGCAGCAGCTGAGCTCTCAGAGAAATCAAAAGCTGCTGATCTTGAGGATTCATTGAAGGAATTTTTATTAATCTTATTACCCTAAAGAATTGCTTTTTATATATGTTTTTCAAACAGCATCAAATCCTCATCAAAACAGACACTGTAGTGCAAGCACCATGCTCTCTGCTATTGACAGAAGCAACGCGGTATTTGCATATGATTTTAAACAAGGCTGGCAGCATGTGGCACCATTATTAGCACTTCGGTATTTTATTATCAGTATTTATTATTATTAATTAAAAGCATAAATCCAGCATGGTAACAAGCACCTCCAGTTCCTGTTACAGCGAGGGGCCTTCTAAATGCCCAGCAACTGGTGTAAATGGCCTCAGTCACCCTAATGTTTGGCACATGTATGTGTGTGTGTCTATATATGTGACATATATATATATATATATATGAGGCCTGTATGTATCGGGAGTGCGGGGGGAGCGCTTTGTAACCTTTAAAAAGCCATGGATGTTCACACAGAAGCAAGCCCACCGCTGGGCAACTGGGAAAGCTGGCAATGACATCACAGCAGCGCTTCACCTTTCTGTCCTTCCGGCCCCAGGTGCTAACGAGCTCCAAGTCTCCCATGGCCTGTTCCTGACCTCAGGGATGGCTCACTGGGGCCTGCACAGCTTCTCGCTGCAAAAAGCAGCATCAATTTTACGGGAAGGACACAGGTACGGAAGAGCCGCAGCCTAAGGACAAGGCTTTTTACCGCCCACAATAACACAGCTCTTGCTCACGTCCCATGTGCCTGTCTGCAGTAGAAGGGAAGGGAGACCCGTCCCAGCAGGACGCTCCCCGGTCAGGCACAGGATGGGATTTCGAGCACCCACCCAACGCTGAAATCACACCCAAGCCCTTTCAGCTGCCTCCTCCCTGCTGCTCAGGGGTGAAACAGCCGGCCAGGAGCATCACCACCAGCCTGCCCGCTCCTCCCAGCTGAGGAACGAGGTCCACAGCAGATGGCAACTGCAAGGGACCTCCTCCCTTTTAGAGCTGGGCCTTGGTACCCACAGCCAGGCATCCTCCCCCATCAGTCAGGTGCTGAACACGCACGAACATTCACGTACATATGGGGACAGGTGCTCTGCGAATTCCTACCTGTATTGTAAACATGCAGGTGACACATGACTTCCTTTCTAAAAGGAAAGGCTACATGCAGAAGTAGCAAGCATAAAGCCTGGATGAAAAAAAGCAAAACTATGTAGACACACATTTATTTTTTTACTACATGGACACAAAACCAGCATGGTTCTTTTAAGTGACAGATTTCAACAAAAATCTAACAGTAAGAAAATGGAAACATTCCCTTATGACAGTATAATGCACTGAAAAAAACTGACTTAAATTACAAATCCTCAGGCAAAGTACGTTTGTATCTGCCCATGTTCTGCACGGGCTGCAAGCCATCTGGTCAGGGAGTTAAACATCACATCCAAGCAAATAAATCCTCCCCAGGCAAGATAGTACCAACATTCACACGACTTCCAGCTGGTTCAGAACAGAGGTAGAGGTTATTCTTTTCCACCTCCAAAACATACTGGTTATGCATACTCCGTATCACACTAATTTTTGTTCACAGGACATGAGTGCTGAAAAAGACCCAAAAAACTTAAATGTTTTTCCTCCACCAATACTACATCTTAAATTTATGTACATGAAATATATTACAGTTTAAACACACCAAGTAGAAAACAATCGTGCTACAGGTATCTAAAATTACCACCATCATCTACTGTCTTGTTTCGGTCGGGTGTTCTCTACTTAAAAGGCATGAATTGTATTCCTGTCGCTCCTACTAACCTCAGCGCAAACCTGGCACAGGTAATCAAGATCTCATATACCATTAAGTCAGCCCTGCAGCAATGCACTATTACAGCAAGACTGTTTTACTGCAGCTCATCAGTTGCATCTCAACTACTCCAGATATTTTGACTGAGGTCACCTAGGCAGTTGGATTCTTTTAAAAGGCTGTTCATTTTCTATAGTTTGTAAAAGAAACTTTGTTACAAACGTGGATTTGGGCTTGCTTTGTTTCTAGTAAGAAGCAGCCTAAGGATCACATAATGGAGTTAGGCTCCTTCAAACATTTCTGGCAGGAGAAAGGCGCAATAATTTGTGTACAATACACAGGTGTGATGAAGTATTAAGCCATACTTATTTCTTTTTTTAAAAAGCACAAAAATCCCTGTGGCAGGGAGACTAGTTGCAATACTCCCATTTTCAGGAAGCGGCAAGTGACGTTTACCTCCACGCAGGCAGCTCACACAGAGCCCCTTGAGCTTTTTGGCGTAACTGGCTGCCAGGCTTAAAATCTGCCCTGGAGTCTAGGAGAGACTGCCCTGGAGAACTTCGGGAGGCGTGAAATGCTCAACCTGCTTGGTCCCGGCTCGAAAGGTCCTGCTAGAAACAGGGCTGTGGTTATGCAGCATTTGTCAGGTCACCCGTGCAACACAGAGGAGCCATGTCCATTTAGGGGGGTTTAATCTTAAAGCAGATCTTCTGGTGTTCTACATTTATTTAATTCTAATGTGAAGATCTGAAGATTCAAATGACAGCTTATCAAATTAAAAAAAAAAGTTATACTCATTGAGAATTCTATATTTAGTTCAAGAACTCAGCGGCAGAACTTGAAAACAGTTGAACTTGACGGCAAAGCTTGAGAACAGTTTTCCAAAAAGATCAGTTTATTTTGGTGGGTCTGTATTAATTCCATATTTTTCCTTGAGAAGCTTAAGCTGTTCCTCTTTCTTCTTTGTGTCCATCTTTTGGAATGCCTGTAATTAGGAAAATGGAAGATGTGAGAAGAAAAAAAAATGTCATCTGATGACATGTTAGTTCCCAGTAACCACAACCAACATCACTGCAAACTACACCAACATCACACACAAACAGCGCTGCTTAATTCTCAACCTCGGAGAATGCCACAGTACCCTGGATGCTGTCAGTAACAGGCAGAACATCAAGAACTAGAGACATTTCATCTGTAAACGAGATCTCACATCTTGTTGCAGCTGTGCAGTTTCAAGGCCCCTACTTCCTCCTCTCCAAAATACACTCACCAGAAACATGTTTTTCACACCCTTGGTCCAGAGGCCCTTTTCTTGCACACAAATCACCAAGTAAAGATGAAACCCTGACAATTGATCTGATCCATTCCCTCTACCAGTTTGGATTTATTTCTTAAAAATATCCAAGAAACTGTCTTTTCAAACTGAATTTTCTTTTGTGCTAGCTACATTCACAGGTAACTTAAAAAAACCCCAAGCGTACGTACCCGGTTTGCATTATAGTACAAAACGACAAGGTATCTGTTGCACACGTTGAATCCCGAAAGGTGATCACAAGCGTTTTTGGCATCAAAGATGTCTTCATAGACCACGTAGGCTGTTCCTCTAGTTTCAGGAGTATTTCCACTGCAGAGCAATATCAGTTTTGATGTTAAACAAAATGAACAGGAAATAGTTCTGTTAGTCTTTAGCAGTGGCTGAGATTAGATTAACTAATGCAACTTCATTAAAAACCAATTTCTTGTTATTTTTTTGTAGATATTAAAATACCTCCCTGCTTTCCACACCCATCTCCACGTACAGTTCAGAGTCAGAGACAACAGGAAAACATGACAGAGGCATGTGCTGCATTGTGCTCCTTAAGGGAAACTTGCCTCGCCACCACAACTATCAGAGGCTGTTGCTGTCAATGGTTGTCATATTTCTGGAAATACTTCCAAGTCTTTATTACAGCAATTAGCTTGTTTTATTTAATATTACAAGACCAGGCTGCCAGTTAATGGCTGTCTGGATCAGATGTCTCCCTAGAATGGAATACAGCTCTTGGCACCTCACAAAGTCAATTCAGAAGAGTCAAAACAGCCCCGCTAGTGCAAGGCGACTTCAGGCACACAGCCATCACCTATCAGACCATCAATTCCATTTCCTTTGCCAAAGGGACAGGAGACACGTCTGGGCACATAATGCTAACTAGCCCGGAGAGATGGCAGAGTTTACAAATCCAGAAGATCTCAGCTAAAAGATTAATTATAGCGAACTTAATAATCAGAAGAACTCTCTCTAAGGTGCTTGCTTCTATGAAGAGAACTCCCAAGGACAAAGGACATCGCACATATCCACACCGGGATGCGTACAAAAATGAAGAGAAGAATGGGATAAAAACTGCACAAAGCACAAAAGTCATTACAAAGGGAGTTCCATGTTACGCCTTGTCTCGTGACAATGTTAGGATTTCTGTGGAAAACAACGCAAATCAGTAGTTCTGAATGATCAGCAGGGAGGCTGCCTGCAGTTAGTTCCCTGCTGGATGCATAGGCCAGCACGTCACTCCAACAGAAAGCTCCCCTGATATATCATAATAACTTTATGTCCCACTATCATGCTGTTCCAACCTACATGTTTTCAGAAACCTTAAATACTAGCTTTCCTTCATGCTTATTAGTGAAGAATTCCACCTGTTTAGCCAAGCAGCAAAGTTTATGCTGTCCCTTTTTCCTTTAGCCACTTCTCCAGTCACTTTTGTTGCCCTTCCCTGGACAAGAAGGATCTCACTAGCTACACGTTCCAACACAGCATCAGCAGTACATCCCCCCCCGTCCTTGTTTGTTTACTGAAAGCAATTCTATACATAAGACTGACTTTATTCTATACACTGAATAATCATTTTTAATCACTATGGCTCTGGAATGAGCACTTCTACTTGGGGTAGTAAAGTTCAGTCTGTTTAACTGTTTACGTATTTATGTCCTGCATAGCCAAAACAACGAAATGTAATGTGGATTAGTTACCCATCCCAGTCGCAGAGCATGGGGAAATGGAGAGCGCTGTAAGTGACAAGGATACATTCTGCTCTAATCCAATCAGTAACCTAGTCGAGAACTCAGAGATGCTGCAGGTTATTTTGCCACCATCCAGATAAAAGCAGTACAAAAAGACTCATATCAAATATAAACTGTTTTTCCTTTCTTTTTGTACATCTATTGAAATGTGACTTAAAATGTTTTCTTTTTAAGTATTAAACACCAAGTGTTGTTTCCTCCCCCTCCCCTTCCTAAATATTTTTCAGAAGGGGGAAAAAAAAAATCCTTCTGTATGAGTGTCAATCTCCAACCAGCCTTACTATGGTTCTTAAAAGCACTTCCTGAATTCCAGCTGCAGCCAACTCTTTCCACTGGGAACTTACCGGAATATAGTACTAACCAGATGAAATTGTGGTTTAATCCACAACATTCAGACAGTACTCAGGATAACAAGAAACATCAGAGCTCAGTTACTTCAAATGCTGAAGACGTAAGAGAAGAACCTCAGATTTGCTGCAGACGTGTATAACCTCAGTGCATTTTAAAACACAGTTACAGTCAGAGCGCCATTATCCACAGCCGACATGGCTCGGGGACAAGCTGTACCTGACACACAGAGAGTTGGTTTCTGGTATTTGTTTCTGGTTGACAGGTCTAGCAGCAATAGTATCATCTCGATTTTCCCATTAGTTAAGTTTCTAATACTCATTAAATATGAAAACTGGTTGTATTCAACTTTTGCCTTTCTTACTTTTACCTTCAGTGAAGATAAAATTTAAGATTTCCTGAACAGAGTAAGTCATATTTTTACCCACTTACATTCAGTTGACATCAAATTTAAGCTTTTTCACCCTACCTACCAGCACTGTTATTTTCTAACGAATTCACACATAAAGGAAATATCATCACATCCATCTTTGGCACACGGGGATACTGCTAAAGTGCGTTTAACTTTTTCAGCAGTGAAAGCCAGTTGCTACCTACTGCAGTAGGAATACTGACATAACGCATACACTAAAGCACATAAGATCCTTAACTTTTCACGGAAAACTAAAATACTTACACCCTGATTTGTCGAATAGGCCCGTACTTCCCAAAAATATCATACATTTCCTCCGCTGTGATTTTATATGGCAGGTTCCTAATATAGAGGATCCGATTGACTTCTGGAGGCAGCCGGATCTGATAGAGAAACAACATACGGCGTGTTAGACCCAGAGCGCTCACTTCAAACCTTAAAAGCGGCAGCCTGCGCGCTAAATCTTGGGGCTAACATCACCGAGAGAGTCCGCGCGCTTCGCTGGTCCTTTTTTAACCCGCCACAGCCACGAACTCGACCCGCTCTTGTCAGCCAAGAGCCCTGCCTGGAGGGGGACCGACTCCCTTGGCCTGGGACGCGGAAGGAGCCCAGGCCGGGCGGGCCGCCGGACTCCTCCTCGCCTCGCACCCCGCCAGGCTGCCCGGGAGGGGAAGGGGCGGGGGGGGAGCACTCACGTTGGCTCGCTTGGCCGCTTGCATCGCCATGGCGCCGGCCGGAGAGAGGGGGCTGCCGCCTGGGAGAGAAACACCGGCAGGGAACGGGCCGCGGCCGCCACCACCCGCCGCTCGCCTCAGCGGAAGACCCGGATGCTATCCCAGCCTGCACCGCGCCTCGCGAGCAGGCGCTGCGGGGCGGGGGGAGCGCGCCCGCCGCGCGGAGGCTGCTGTGAGGTGAAGGGGGCGGGGCTGCGGCCGGTGATGAAGGCAGGGCGGGAAAGCGCGCGAGAGCGCTTTCCTCCTACGCGGAGGAGCGTTCGCCGACATTTTGTTGACGCGATTAAGACACGGTGTCGTAACTGCAGCCTGAACCTTTTTATTAAACGTGTGCTAAGGCTTTGCTTTTACCCCTCCTTTTTGGCTTCCTCCCACAGGAAATCATTCCAGATTTGGAAGCAGAAAGGGCAGATTCTCAGCTTGTCAAACACCCCTAACGATTCTGTCCCCCAAACAACTACAGCAGTAGGCCTCTCTTTAAGATGAAGCAGGCATTTCGATGACAATTTTGCCAATATTCTTGTTTTCTTCCATGATCCTGTGTGCCTCGGCAATCTCCTGCAGAGGGTAAATGCTGTCGAGAAGTGGTTGGAGGTGAGGGGAGGTTCCTCCAGAAAAATACGGTAGCACGTCTTCTGTGAAGGCTTTCACCAGGCGTTCCTTATACTGAAGAAAAAAAGCATTTTGACGATCATTTCCAATCATTTCATTCACAGAGGTACCTCTAAGCACTGCGTCCAAAATGTGCACAGTTCTCAAGGAGACGCTTCCTGACATTTTTATAGTGAGATGGACATGCAAACATCTGACAGGTGTAAATTGCAAACAAGAAGAAAATTTGTAGATTTATTGAATTACATTCTCCAAAGCAAGTGGTACAAGCTCAGTGCAGAACCATCTAAACTCAAACTGATAAAAGCTCTAGAGAATGTTATGTTTTAGACCATGGATGGAATGTATCCTAGGGCTCTGCACTGCTGTCTTTTACTGTAATATCTTGAGAATCTTCCACATAAAGTGATTTTTCCTTGGTAATTTCTAGGCATCCAAATGGCCTTGGTCTCTACCTTGAAAAATGATCTAACAGAAGTTCCCCGCCCCGACTCGATCAGGCTGCCTGATCACTTGAGTTTTGTTTCTTCTTAGGCCAAATCTTTAAATTATGGCACTCATTAAGTACGTTAAAAAGTCCTGGGTATCATTCCTCTGATTCAGTAGTTCTAAAAGAGAGGCATTTGATAAAAAAAGGGAAATTCTAACTTAATTTTGCAGTGTTTTCCAGAGTATGTAGTAACAGTTCAAGGTGGTGCTTTTTTGGTAATGATGTGTTAGATTCTGCTTTAACACTGGTATCCAAAGAAAGCTCTCAAAACTATCATCGATTTTAAGATCAAACTGTATACACTGTTCATAGCCATTACTTGCCTCCTTGTCTCGTGATCGTAATAGACTTGTATGGATACTCGCTCTTTTGGAAAGCAACCTTGCAAGCAAATCTCCATGTACTTCACCTCCACTCAGTAGTCCATAAATAATCCACCGGCCATCAGTACTCAGACAGTTGATATTCTTCTCCCAGTATGAGCCACCAACACAGTCTAAAATAAGATCTACTCCAGAACCTCAAGTAGAAACAGAAAAGATTTCAGCAATGTAGTCGAACTGCATTAAAGGTAGAATAATTTCAAGAAAAACTAAAACCTTATTCTTTGTAGGTACAGAATCAATCCTGCAGTTATTTACATCTTTCTACCGAAATCACAATGATTTCTAAGGAATTCTAGAATCAGGCACAAAAAAAGAATCATTATAGATACCCAGATGCAGATTCTGTCATAAACCATCCCAAATGCTTAGAAAAGCTAAATTTTTCTAACAATAAGAGAACTAAGTTTTGTTCCCATATTCAAACACTTACAAAGACAAGTGCAAGGATTTGGTCCCACAGTTCCTTGTGGAGGCAACTATAACACAGGCACAATATTTATGCCCCAAATGACCACAAAGTCAACGAGAGTCCATGCAGAAAAGAGAGCGCAGTCAAACTAAGGAAAGATAGATTCTTGGGCTGAACAGGATGCTAGGTTGGCTAACAGGGTCAGGACTGTCTGCTCCTTCACCGACTAAGGTGACAGTTGAAATTGAGTGTATGTGCATACACGTTAGGAGGTACACACTCCGCAACTGTAACAGCATCTTCCATATAGAAGTTCTTACCTTGGGTGAATGCCAAGACCTTTTCACTAAAATCTTCATTCTTGTAGTTGAACCCCACAGCTGCTCCCGCGTTTGTTGTTGCTTTCAGTTTCTCTTGAGTTCCTGCTGTCACGATAGGAATAGCTTTTGCCAGTCTCACCAGCTGAATGGCTGCCATACCAACTCCACTAGCTCCAGCATGGATCAGCACTCTTTCGCCCTTCTGTACTTTACCTGAAGGAGGGCATAAATGAAATGGTTACCCTTTTGGCATCACCTTTGGATTAAAACATGATCAGGGTGTAAAATACTGAATAGGAAGCTGAAAGAGATGCCCTTGAGTGGGCTTTGTTTACATCTTCATATCCTTCATAAAAGAAACAAATTCAGCACTAACGCAGCTTGCAGTGTACCGACAGGAACTCTATTTCACCAGCTTCAGTGGAATGACTTTAGCTTGGCCTTGTCCAGTTCTGGTCATCTGTGACCAAGCCGTTTATGTGAGCGCAGTCAGCCTTTTCATACCGGGACCATCCCCTGCTGCCAACAGAAAACACACTTGGAGGATGTTAATACTGAGAAATCAGGCACTCAACAATGGAGAAACATAAGAAGCGCTGGGTAACGTTAAAGACCAGTGCTACCTATCATTTTACCATCTACCGGTTGCCCTAACACATTTCTTTGTGTTCCACTGATTGCTACTGGAAGTGAGGCACTGAGTAGTCCTGGAGGTGGTCCTAATTGACTACAGACCCCCAGGAAGCAACACTGCTTGAAGTGAGTCTGCATTTCAGGTAGTGAGGAAAGTTGCTTCTTTGTAACTCCTGTTCTTTAGTGGAGCTTTTAGATGCTACTGCTGAAGAGGGTAGAAGGCGGCTATTTGTCAATGAGGAAAAACCCTGGCAAGGGCTACTGTTAGTGCCTCTATAGCACGTTTTCAAAACAAAGAGTGTGAACTTATGTCTGTTTTAAATCAGCTCAGAGGAGATTTTACCAACAATTAATGTATCTGTGAAACAATGTACAAGAAGATATTGTCTACTGTAGATCCACAGGCAATTAGTGGGAAAGTTCATGATATGGTCACGCTTGCAGCAAGTCAAATCTTTAGAAGATGCGTTTTCAGTTATTTGGAGAACATGTAAGTTATTTCAGGGTTTAGGCTTAATGGAAATTGCCATTCAAGCTGAGAAATGTAGACAAAAAGAAAAACTGACCATCTTTCCATATCCTTCCTTGTAAATATGCAATCAGCAGAGTAAGTTGTGACTGGGGAGATGTGGTCAAGATTCCAGGGTTTGGGTCTGGCATACTGGATTCTGACCCACATGAATGAGGTGACAGAGAAAAGGTTCTTCAAAGGCAAACAACATTCAGATGGAGACAAGAAAGAGGTTTCATAACAGAAAGGAAAACAGGCTGTCTTGGTAGGATAGAGTTGCAAATACGCCTCTCACCTACAAAATGCAGCAGCTGAAAGGCTGTTAACCAGGCTTCGGGAATGGCTGCAGCCTGAATAAAAGTCATATCACTGGGAATTGGCATCAAGTAGCCTTCGGGTACTGTAACGTATTCTGCCTGGCCACCTCCGGAGAGCAGAGCCATCACTGCATCGCCAATCTTCCACCGGCCCTTGCAGCCAGGTCCGAGCCCAGCCACACTCCCAGCTGCTTCTAAGCCTAAAATATCACTTGCTCCTTTGGGGGGAGGGTACTTCCCTCTCCTCTAAAATAAAAGAAGAGAGAGGGCAAGGAAGGAAAAGCCACACATCAATGAGTGTAATGACCTGTGATATGTTGTTCACGTGCCTCCAACCTAAATTCCTATTTATTTAATCCTAATTTTGTACTGTGTAAATGTTCCAGTAATTTGAGGATCTTCTATCCTCTGGCAATACCTCCTGTTTCCTAAGTATGTTTTATTCTTAAAACTCTGTGTGCAAATTCAATTTGTTGCGAGTCCCCTTTGTCTAGGCCAATCCATGCTGGGGAGGTATTATGGTCTCCAGTTGCAAAGCATGGCTTTCAGCTCAAATTAAAGCAGCTCAGACTTAACAATTTGAATGTGATTTTCCCACGCTGTAATTGAGCCAGTGGAACATTTCATGTTCATCTCAAATGCCCAGAGAAAGGTCTAAGCATCTAGAAAGACCAGAGCTTTGGTTTTACATCTTTTCTTGAAAGGCAGCTACCTTTCCATGCCACCCCAGCATTGCAGTGACCCAGATAAAAACATTTATCTGCTGAATCAACAGACATCTCTTCTTGCAGCCCTATGAACATTCCCTTTGAAGTCCCCCACCCAAATGCTTACCAGGCCCAACCTCTTAACTCTTCAGATTTGTCAAGACTTCAGGTAGGGGCTTGAAAATTTGGTATAGTTTTCAGGTGCATAAATCTGCTTAACATACACATACCTGGAGTAAATCAGCCCTATTCAGAGCGCTGGCAGAGACCTTCACAAGAACTTCTCCTTCTCCTGGGTGCGGTTTCATCACTTCTTTCACATAGAGATTTTCTGGGCCTCCTGGGCAATCAAAGTAGGCTGCCAACATTTTCTCTGAAAAAAAACCAGCAAAACCAAAAAACCTGGCATGAATGCAGGCACACTTACGTGCAGCTGGAAAATCTCAGTAATCAGTAACCACAGCTCCACAGACTCCACTCTGCAGACGGACAATGCAAGCTGTGACACAGGTCGAAGGTAGAAGAGGGGAGGGCTGCCCGAGAAAGCGGAGGAGTTATAATGCAGTGAAATACATCAACACTGGGACACAACATATCGTTGCAAAAGCCATTTGACAAACCATGAAGATCACCTTGCATCGTCATAGGTCTTAACCCTGTACAAAGCTGTGAGTGGATCCAGCAGCCCTGACCATCCACACACCTTAACTGTAAAATTAACACACAAATGAAAGTAACATCCTTTGCTCTCGACTTCTGCATGATTAGGGCCCCAGTGCTCAACTGACTAAAGGACACAGGCCCTTAAAGTAGTAGACACAAATGGGATTTTAAAACCCTCAGCAGAAAGAGCCTTTATTTGACACATCTAAAATCACATAAGTGCTGCTTTATGATTCAGCCCATGGATGACAACTTGAAGATACACAAAGGCATGATGGTGACCTAGCGCAAATGAAAGATAACAAATGGTTTTAAAAATTCCTATTTATTTCCCTTGCCTCAGCAGGTGATTCCTGTGTGCCTGATTTGCTCTGGTAGAGGGTCCCACTGCTGCAGGAGTCTTTCAAGTAACTCCTCAGATACAGTTCGTTGCTTTTGGCACCAGCAGTTGTTGAGATGGGCCGAGATGTCAAGCCTCCTCCCGCTTGGCAAAATCAAATCTGGAGCAGTCTTCCCTCTGCCCCCTGGGTGCTGGGTGGAAGGAGATGAGAAGAAGAAGGAATCACAACGGGAATGACTGTGTTACTTCTCAAGAGCTGGTACTATACTGAACACAGTATAGGGCTGCCACCCACAGATGTGCGCAGGGTGGGCTGCAAGCCAGAGCCTCTTCAAGGAAACAGCATTGTGTGATAGACCACCATGCCCTCTGTAAAAATCACTTGCATTATGGTATCTGCACAGGAAAAGCTAAGTGCATATTTAATTATTTGTGATAAGACTGCAAATGCGGAATGATAAACACCTTGAAACCCCACGAATGTAAATCCCCAGGGGGTGGTGCTCTGTGGCTGTTTTACAGTGAATGAACACTTCCAATTATTCGTATAAAATGTAACTCAAAGGCTTTTCTTTCAGAGGCTGGCAGTCTATTTGTTGTTTTCAGCTGAACCATTTAATCCAGTCCAACAAAATTTATCTGTATTAGCACAAAAATTTCGTGGGAAGCTCACCCAGAAACCACCCTGTTAACAGATGCTTCTGCTCTCTTAACTGTCCAAGTTTAGTCAATTAAAAATAAGATGCAAAAGAAGCTTTTGTCCTTCTTCCGAGACACATTACTAACCTGCATTTTTATAAATGCTTGTCTTTGTTGCTAGAAGCAGACCCACAAAAATAAATTAAAAAATACAGTGAGGATCCGAATATCTACATCGCTTTCAAATGCACAGAAAACTGCAAGAATTGAAAACCAAGTTTCCAACCAAGTGCAACAACTTCAGACTGTCAGATCTGCCAGCACTGGCCCAAAACAACAATTTAAAGAAGCTATGTGGTTTCTGAGCACAATTTGAGACTCACCTTTTTCCTGTAAAGAAGGGAGGATGTTCTCTGCACCAGGAACAAACCCAGCCTCGCCTTGGGAACAGAGTCTGATCCCAGTTCCTCCTTTCCCAGCTCTGCCCTCGCTATCAGCCATTCCCTAGCAAGTCAAGGGGTGGAACAGGATGAGGTTGTGTTTTACTTTGGAAGGACAGACATGAGCAGAGTCAGAAATATTAGTACGTCGCACCATTATTTCCACCCACGGACCTGGTTTATTCCACGGATTGAGGCAGGAATCTACTTTCCCCTTTGTCATTGAGGTAGAGATCTGCTGCTCTCCCCCAGCACACAGGGAGGTTTGGTCTAATGCCTCTGCTGTGCCGATCCGCCGGATACGTGCCTATTTACGTGTTCTCGGGCAGAGCACTGAAGTGCTGCTTTCATTTCTGAACTCTGAGTAGTGCAGACGAGATTTGCTGAAGCTGCATTAAGGGCATGTGAGCTGTGACAGTCCTTATGCTATACATCCACCTGAGGAGGCTTTACTGTGCTCTTGTTCCCATGAGATGTCAATGTTCAAAGTTTACTGGTTCCCGTCCGTCAGCCCGCTGCATTTCTACCTGATGTTTTAGCTGCCTGATCGCACCTCTTTGTTGAGCTTTGCTGTTTCCCCCAGAGGGAGAAGGATCAGATCATGCCTTTTTCCATGTCCTAGTCGACAGCTCTTGAGTATTTGAGAGTTGTCAGGGAATAAAACTGGCACTTCTGAGTATTTAAAAATTATAAAACATATGTCTGTCCATGTGTGGGACTGTGGATTTTTTTCCTATTGATTTTGAGGGTTTGGGATTCAGGCTTTTAAACTCTTCTTTGAAACTAAACTAATTTAGAATCACATGTAGCTAAAAATTCTTTTGTTCTCAAATGACTCAAAAGAGTTAATAGTTTGTTTCTGCAGATAAAAAGATCATGAGTCTGATCTTCTTGAGACTGCTCTTTACCTGGTGGTGTAGGCAGAGCTTCAGCTGTCCCCTGTGCAGTAATGAGTTCACTCAAATGTGGATTCTTTGATGTCTTACAGTACACACAGTCTGATTCAAGCCTGGTAGTGACGTTATCCCTCCTCCCCAGTCCTCACAGAACTTTGCAATCCACTACAATTTAATCAATTACAATTCAAATGGACATGTTAAAAACGTTTTATTTGTAATACTGAAAGATGTACGGGACAATCTGAAAATATGTTAATGTAACAATTTCCTTCCTCCCTTGGGTCTGTGATGCTAGCATAGCTTTAATGCTGTGAGAGAAGTTTCTTTGCTTAGGGAGATTAATAATTTTCTTATCTGGAAGCAGGCTAAAAGACAACATTAGAAAGATTAAGCAGAGCATCTTAAACCAAATCCTGAAGACATTACTTTCAATTCAGTTAAGAAACTTAGATGATAGACGCATAGGGTAGTCCTCTTATGAGCAATCAGTCCTCAAGCGTTCTTGAAAAAACAGAAGGAAACTCAGCAGTTGGAATGTTGTAAAGCAGTAGTTTCTTGCTTAAACTGGATAGTGCTTCAAACTTCTACACTTTATTTCCTCATGAGCAGTCCTTCAGAGTTTGATGAAGTTCAAGATTTCTACTCATTCAGCTACCTTTTTCTCTAAAGTAGTCCGCTGTGATACAAGGAAATAAATAAAAAAATTTGAAAAATCAACAATGATAAAAATCATGTACAGGATTGCTTTAATGAAGATGCTTTTGTTCAAGTTCAAATCCACCTCAGACTATACTGTACTCAAAAGAAGACAGCTGTATTTCTAGCTGAAAATTGAAAATACTAATACCTATATTCATGAGGTATTATCTGTTTTAAAGAATAAACACTGAACACCTTAAATCATTTTTAGAAATCTCTTGTAACATGCTGAGAAAAGCTACTTTGTTTTCTTTGTGCAAAGAAATCATCCAGAACAGCAAGAATAAACCCCAGAAAATACACATTGTCAAAACTGCTGCAAATCTGGCACTGGAAACACTGAGACCTTAGACTTTACTCCGGAACAGTGGCCAGTTACGGACAATGTGACTATTTGCAAGACCAGATAAGTTGTGTGCAAATGGTTACAGGATTTTGCAAGTGTTGACATTTTTTGCAGTCTCCAAACTTTACACTTTCTGCCTTCCTCCCCTGGCAGCAAAGAAGCTGGTATCAACTGTGATATGGCTCCCGAATTTATTACTGAGGCAGCTGGACAGACTTGGGGCTAAATAACAGAATGGCACCTTTTGGATCTGGTTGAGCTCCATTTGTAGTAATGCAGGAGAAGACTAGGATAAAGCTAGTCTAAATTAGCTTAAAATATAAGGCCCAATGCTTAGATTTTTAAAGTCTCATTAATGCTGCCCTGGATGGAAGCAATCCCTTGAAAACACTCCGTAGCTGGAAGGACCATTCTGGTTTGGTAGTATTTCATACCTGTTTTGACCCAGTGATTAAAAACTCCTATTAATGCTACCAGGGTGGGAAATCTGTCTGTTCCTCAGTTCATAGCCCAGCACATAAATGTCCCCTAAAATTGATATCATTTGAAGTTAATGTGCTGGCCGTGCATGCAGGTGACAAAGATCTTTAATACCTATCCCTAACAGAGCCATCACAGCTGCTAATTATGACAAGGATGAGGCAGAATCATGTCTGGAGCACAAGAAAGTTGAGGCTCTCTAGGCAGTGCAGTGCTGGTACAATGGTTTTGTGCTCAACCTGCTACGAGACGCTGACAAAAACAATGGCCAAGAACTAGAGAAAGCAGAACATAACATAAAGCAGCCTGAGGTTGCTCTGATAGTTGAGACTGAAATGAACATAGGAAAGATCCAAAAACCATCGGCAATCCACTTGCCTCTTCTGTGGCCTGTCTGCAGTGAGATGCGTTTTGGTTAAACACAGTGCAGGGGCTGTGAGGTGTGAAGAAGTGGAGCGGCTGCAGTGGAGGCCAGTCTCTGCCAGCCTGGCACCATGCACAGACCCACCAGCCAAGAACAAGTTTTCTGAAGGTCCAGCAGGCAAGATTGTTCTAAAACCTGCATTATAGCCTCCAAAAATCCTGGTCTTGATCATAGCTTTTTGAATTGTAAAAGCCTTTTGAAAAAGGTTTGATGAAGGATTTGTTACTGAGAGTCTTGTAGCTCATTCCAGACGAAACAGCTTATGGCCCAAAACACAAATTCATTCTACTTACTTTTACGCACCTAAATGAGGAACAAAAGCTAGGAGCACAGTGGGCCTACAATCTTATTCCTTTTCAGTGAAAGGAGATGGGCATATCCATAGATGAAGTTGAATCTTATTGCTCTACAAAATATTCCATAGAAACATCCTTGAAA